TTGAACCACCGTGAGAACAGTTACAAAGCTTTCAGGTTTAAGTCTTGGTCATACAATGATCAAACACCCATCCCTTCACCAGTGCATATTTTCCATCACCAAGAACCCCATCCCACCCTTCCCCATGCCTGTGAGGCAGATGATTCCTACTTTAATCCCTCTCTACTTTGATTACCTTCATTATTTCGTACAGTCCTCAATTTTTTTTTTTATGGGATGCCATTTTTTTTTCCCTTTATTTTATTTTATTTTTTTTAAAGTTGTAGATTTACAATTTTTTGTGCTTTGGTTTCAATTATACAATGATCAGATACCCATCCCTCCACCAGTGCCCATTTTCCACCACCATGGATAATATCCCTCCCACCCCCATCCCCCCATCCCCCCTGTCTCTGTGGCAGGGCAATCCCCTGTGTTCTCTCTCTCCTTTTGGGTGTTGTGGTCTGCAAAAGAGGCATTGAGTGGCAAACATGTTCTCATCAGTAACTTTCAAGGAAATTCTTTGCAAGATTCATTCTATTCATTTCTTTGTCATACCCAATACACCCATTCCTGGATTGGCAGCCTTTCTAGCATAATGCTTATGCTTTTCCTCTGTGAAGTGAAAACCTAAGCAAGCACTGTCCTCCCGCTGTTCATCTATTTGTTCGAGCGGGCTCAGTAACGTCTCCATCGTGAGACTTGTTGTTACTGTGTTTGGCATATCACATACGTCACAGGGAGCTTGCCAGATTTTTGGAATTTTATTTTCTTCACTAGTAAGTACAGCAAGAGAACATTCTTTTTTTTTTTTTATTAGTGAAACACCATGAGGTACAATTGTAGATTTACAATCTTTTGTGTTTGGGTTTGATTATACGATGATCAGATACCCATCCCTCCACCAGTGCCCATTTTCCACCACCATGGATAATATCCCCCCACCCCCATCCCCCCATCCCCCCCTGCCTCTGTGGCAGGGCAATCCCCTGTGTGCAAGAGAACATTCTTACTGAAAAGTTTAACACTTTATCCTGCAACTTACTTATTGTCACTTTTCATAATATCTAGAATTTATTTCTCTAATCTCTTTTTCCATGATTTCATAGCTATCAGCTTTATTGACTAATTGCAAATTTCTATGTGTTTTTTTTTTCAAGAAAACACTGAACAAGAGATACAAACAAAACAGATCAGAATATAAGTATACAGTATTCTATATTCAGGCTTAACTGGTAGGCAGAATTTCATTTGCTGGTCTTGGGAATTAGAAAAAAATAATAATACACCAAGCAAGCTTGAGATGAAAATGGAGTGGGGAGAAGAAATTTTGATGGAAGAAGAACTTGAAGGGGGGGTCATTTTAGTAACAAGAGCTCTTCAGATCTTTCTGTATGTTCATTTTGATGGACTCTGTTTTTATTTAATTAGTTGGGAATATGTTCACGTTTCATTGAGTAAATACATTAGCACTTTTAAAGCATTTTTCCAATCTTTACAATTATCTTATGTTACCATTTTTCCTGGATGCTCTTTGTTTTCAGTTTTGCTTTTTTATGCTTAACTTTTCCCTCAAGGTGATCCAAGGACAAGGCTGCAAAGCCAATGACTGCCAACTGCAATCTTCTAACAGCGGGGGTGGGAGGGGGGGGATTTGGAACTGTTCTGTTCATATGTAACTTTACATTCATTCCTTCTGTCTTCTATGTTAACCATTCCCTTCAATAGTAATTTGTGCCCATCAGTACAAGCTTTCCCAGAGAGGGAACATCTTGCTGTGTTTGGGAAAGGGCTGTCACAATGTTTCATGAGAGATATCCTATATTTCTGTTTCTATATAAGCTTTTAGCCCATCCTTCTGTTTTTATGTCTATCTATCTTCACCTCCCCCTTTTCCTATGCCCACACATCAGCAAGACCCAATGTCTGTACAATCGGAGAATTTCTGGACATTTGTGGTACAAAAATTGATTGCTCTAATACATTACATTTTTATTTGCTTTTGTTTTCTAATCCCATTGCCATTACCTTATACATGGACAAATCCCAGTTTGATCCCTGGCACCTTATATGGTCCTCTGAGCACCACCAGGAGTGATCCCTGAGCATAGAGCCAGGAGTAAGCCAGCCTGAGCACTGCTAAGTGTGGCCCAAGCCTTAACCCCATCATCACCACAAGAAAAGAAGAGAGGAGATAAGAGGATAGGAGGGGAGAGGAGGGGGGAGGGAAGGGGAGGAGATGGGAGAGGAAGGAAGGAAAGGAAGGGGTGAGGAGAGGGGGAGGGGAGGAGAGGAGAGCAAAGGGAAGGAGAGGGGAGGAGAGGGGAGGGGACAGGAGAGGAAGGGAGGGGAGGGAGGGGAGGAGAAACCCGTTACCTATTGTCCATTTTGCCTTCTGGCTTCCCAAGTAATATCGTTGCTATAATTTGGTTTTCTTATTCTTGTTACTTTATGCCTTCACTAAATATTAACATAATGTAATGGTATTTTAAGAGGACATGGAGAAGCTTCATGTTTTCTTTCTTTTATAGAAAACATGAGAAAATGCTCTACATCACTAATCATCAGGTAGATGCAGATCAAAACAACAATGAGATATCATTTCACACCACAGAGACTGGCCCACATCCAAAAGAACAAAAGCAATTGATGCTGGCGCGGATGTGGCGAGAAAGGGACCCTCCTTCACTGCTGGTGGGAAAGCTGACTGGTCCAACCCTTTTGGAAAACAGTATGGACAATTCTCAAAAAATTAGAATTTGATCTCCCATTTGGCCCAGCAATACCACTCCTGGGAATATATCCCAGAGAGGCAAAGAAGTATAGTCAAAGTGACATCTGCACTTGTTTGTTCATTGCAGTACTCTTTACCATAGCCAGAATCTGGAAAAAACCTGAGTGCCTGAGAACAGATGACTGGTCAAAGATACTTTGGTACATTTACACAATGAAGTACTATGTAGCTGTTAGAAAAGATGAAGTCATGAAATTTACATACAAGTGGTACTACATGGAAAGTATGTTAAGCAAAATGAGTCAGAAAAAGCAGGATAGACACAGAAAGATTGCATTCTTCTGGGGAACAAAAAGCAACAAAATGGGAGACTAACACCCAGGAGTGGCGAAATTAGTACCAGGAATTTTGCTCCATGACTTGGAGGCCAGTCATACATGCTAGGGGAAAAGGAAGCTCAGATAGGGAAGAGAGCACCAAATAAAGGATGTTGGGAGGATCCTTCCAGGATGGGAGAAGCATGCTGAAAGTAGACTATAGACCAAACATGATTGCCACTCAGTACCTCTCTTGCAAACCCCAGGACCCAAAAGGAGAGAGAGAGAACAAAAGGGAATGCCCTGCCACAGAGGCAGGGTGAGATGGGGGGGATGAGGGGTGGGAGGGATGCTGGAACCCATGGCGGTGGAGGATGGGCGCTGGTGGAGAAATGGGTACTTGTTCATTATATAACTGAAACCCAAGCACAAAAATTTGTAAGTCTATAACTGTATCTCATGGTGTTTCACTAATAAAATATATATATATAAACCTAAAAAAAGTACAGTAGTGCAACACACACACACTTACACAGTTAACCACACACACACACACACACACACACACAACCATTCTCCCTAGACTTCAATTCCTTTTCTAACACAGGTATTCTCTGTGAATCTGCTGTTATCTCAAACTGATCTATTATCTGGAGATTTATTCTGGTCAACAAGATTTCTCAAATGAATTGACTCTGGACCAAAGTACCTCTAGACCTGACCCAGTATTATTCTTGCTTTTTTTTTTTTTTGTATTTCCCCAGTATCTTCTAAATCATATCCTCTTCCCTTTCTGATTCAAGTATCACTTCTGCAAATTAACTGTAGTTTCTTCTTTTGGGCTTAACTGCAGGTTCAAGTCACCTTCAAACATTGCGAAGTATATGAACATACCATTTAAAAAAAAAGAAAGACAGTTAGAGTATGGACGATTCTAAAAAAATTAGAAATTGAGCTCCCATTTGACCCAGCAATACCACTCCTGAGAATATATCCCAGAGAGGCAAAAAAATACAGTCGAAGTGACATCTGCACTTGTTTGTTCATTGCAGCACTCTTTACAATAGCCAGAATCTGGAAAAAATCTGAGTGCCCAAGAACAGATGACTGGTTAAAGAAACTTTGGTACATCTACACAATGGAGTACTATGTAGCTGTTAGAAAAGATGAAGTCGTGAAATTTACATACAAGTAGTACTACATGGAAAGTATCATGCTAAGCGAAATGAGTCAGAAAGAGAGGGATAGACCTAAAAAGATTGCATTCATCTGGGGGACATAAGGTAACAAAATAGAAGATTAATACCCAAGAATAGCTGAGTTCAGTACCAGGAGGATTACTTCATGGCTTAGAGGCCAGCCGGGCACTCTAGGGGAAAGGGCAGCTCAGATAGAGAAGGGAGCACCAAATAAAGGGTGTTTGGAGGATCCTCCCAGGATGGGAGACGCATGTTGAAAGTAGACTATGGACCAAACATGATTGCCACTCAGTGCCTCTTTTGCAGACCACAACACCCAAAAGGAGAGAGAGAACAGAGGGGAATGCCCTGCCACAGAGGCAGTGTGGGATGGGGGGGATGGAGGTGGGAGGGATACTGGGATCCATGGTGGTGGAAAATGGGCACTGGTGGAGGGATGGGTATTTGATCATTGTATAATCGAAACCCAAATACAAAAATTTGTGAGTCTACAACTGTACCTCATGGTGTTTCACTAATAAAAATTTAAAAAAAAATTAAGAAAGACTGTTGGTCTTTAACTCTTCATTATTTTTCACATGGGACCTTGATCCCATTCAACAAACATCTGTCAAATATCTCTAACAGGCCAGGTTTTGTGTACATTGTCGTTACCATGCTCAATGTCTTAATTACCCCCATGACTTCTTGATGGTTACCATGCACTAACTCAAATTGGCTCCTCCATGAAGAAAGAATTGGGCAATGGCTGAACACAAGTTTGACACCAAA